CTGCTCACGTTCACACAGATGCCCACACCTGCCCATGCTCAGATGCCCACATTCACCTGCCCATGCTCACAGATACCCACACACACCTGCCATGCTCACAGATGCCCACACACCTGCCCATGCTCACGGATGCCCATACACCTGCCCATGCTCACAGATGCTCACACTCACACACACCTGCCCACGCTCACAGATACCCACACACATCTGCCCATGCTCACACAGATGCCCACATGCACACACACCTGCCCACGCTCACACAGATGTCTTCATGCACACACACCTGCCCACGCTCACAGATGCCCGCACCCACACACACCTGCCCACCCTCACACAGATGCCCGCATTCACACACCTGCCCATGCTCACAGATACCCACAGACATCTGCCCACGCTCACACAGATGCCCACATGCACACACACCTGCCCACACTCACACCCCTGCCTGCACTCACACCTGCCCACCCTCACACAGATGCCCACACACACACCTGCCCACACACATGCCCACACTTGCACATCTGCCCACGCTTACACAGATGCCCACATGCACACACACCTGCCCACCCTCACACAGATGCCCTCATGCACACACACCTGCCCACACTCACACCCCTGCCTGCAATCACACACCTGCCCATGCTTACACAGATGCCCGCACCCACACCTGCCTACACTCACACATCTGCTCACACACACCTGTCCACGCTCACAGATGCCCACACAAACCTTTCCACGCTCATACAGATGCTCACACACACCTGTCCACGCTCACACAGATGCCCACGCTCACACCTCACACACATGCCCGTGCTCACACCCCTGCCCACACTCACATGCCCATGCTCACACCCCTGCCCACGCACACATGACCGTGCTCACACCTGCCCCCCACATGCCTGTGCTCACACACCTGCCCACACACACATGCCCGTGCTCACACCCCTGCTCCCCCCCACACATGCCCGTGCTCACACCCCTGCCCACACACACATGCCCGTGCTCACACCCCTGCCCACACACACGCCCATGCTCACACCCCTGCTCACATTCACATGCCCGTGCTCACACCCCTGCCCACACTCACATGCTCATGCTCACACCCCTGCCCACACACACATGCCCATGCTCACACCTGCCCACACACATGCCCATGCTCATGCACCTGCCCCCCCCACACATGCCTGTGCTCATACCTGCTCACGCTCACACCCCTGCCCCCACACCCCTGCCCATGCTCATACACCTGCCCACTCACACCTGCCCACTCATACACCCACACACCTGCCTGTGCTCACATACCTGCCCACTCACTGACACACACATGCACATGCTCACACACGTCTGCACTCACACACACCTGGCCAAACACATACCTGCCCACACACCCACCCACAGCTGTCCACATTCACACACATCTGCCCATGTTCACACTCCTGCCCACACTCACACACACCTGTCCACACTCACACACATCTCATACACAGATGCCCACACACCCATAGATGCCCACACTCATACACACCTGCCCACGCTCACACATACCTCACACTCACATGCCTGGCTCACACCCACACAGATGCCCACACTCTACACACCTGCCCATGCTCACACACAGCTGCCCACACTCACATGCTCACACACGTTCACGCTCACAATCAAATTTCTGTGATTGTCCCATAAGTGATTTTTTTTTTTTTTTTTTTTTTTTGAGACAGAATCTCACTCTGTCTCCCAGGCTGAAGTGCAGTGGCACAATCTCGGCTCACTGCAACTTCCACCTCCTGGGTTCAAGTGACTCTCCTGCCTCAGCCTCCTGAGTAGCTGGGATTAGAGGCACCTGCCACCACACCTGGCTAACTTTTTTTGTATTTTTAGTAGAGACAGGGTTTCACCATGTTGGCCAGGCTGGTCGAGAACGCCTGACCTCATGATCCGCCTGCCCCTGCCTTCTAAAGTGCTGGGATTATAGGCATGACGCCCGGTCTCCATAAATGATTTTTAAAACTTAAAGTTTTCTCTGTATTTTCTTTTTAACACTTCATTTTAAATAATTTCAAACTAACACAACAGTTGTGAAATTAAGACGAATTCCCACATACGGGTTGCCTGGATTCCCCAAATGTCAGCGTCATCACTCAGCACAGTGCTCAAGATCAGGGCATGAACACTGACATGACACTGTCATCTGCCCCACAGGCCTTCTTTAGGGGGTCCCACAAACACCCGCTTCTGCCCTGGGATCCAACCTCTACTGGACACTGCTTTTGTGGAATGTCCCTGAGTCCGGGTGGGCTGTGTTTGCTAAGTGATCGTGCAGGTGGTGACACTGGGAGTGGAAGCGGCTGGCTTCATGTCACTGCGCCAGGAAGGCAGGTGTGGGCCCGGCCAGGACGCCCCAATTTGTGTTCCTCTACTCGGGGCTGTCATGTAGGCCCCCTCCCTCTTGTTTTTCTCCCGAAACCACACGGGATATGTCAAGTTTCCTACATTCTGTCTTTTGCTGGTCACATCCTCATAGTGCCATTTCTCCCTACTTCTGGTAGCCTGGCTCCATCAAGTTCAAGTTCAGGTTTGACCCACTTCCCTCAAGCCTCTGCCTTTCGTGGACCGAGGATGCACCCCGTTACCACCATCAGCCTTCTCCCTGGGAAGTCGGTGCACCCTGCTCTCCTCTGCCTCTATTCTCGCCCATGCACCCACCCCTGGATCATCTTATTTAATCACCATCTGTCAGCGGACAACTTAAAACTCTGCCTTCAACCAAGAGCTCCTTCTGGGGCTCCAGACCATCTTCCACTCCATAGTCTGAGGGCTTTTTCTAAAATTCCCTCTGAGGGGAACTCTTTCTCCTTGTACTTCCTAGTGGTGACAGTCCTTTGACCCTGTGCTTTGACCTCACACCGAAATGCCCTTCTCCCTTCTTCACCTGGCTAAATTCCCCAGGAGCTACCCGGTGGCCACGGGCGGAGTGAGCGCACTCTGTGTTCACCAGCACCTTTATCCCCAGAGAGTGAGTGCTCGGGCACAGGTGCTTCGTCTGTAGCCCCATTGCCTGAAATGGCACTCAGATATCTGTGGGATAAATGTTGAAAGCGATTGGCGATATTACAAATCCTAGGTATTTAGGATTACCTTTTCCGTCTAACATTAAGTCAGGGTCTTATACTGACCTCAGGGTATAGGAACAGGAAGCTCGTACAGCCCAGGATCAGCTTCACCCGCTTCCTGGCTGCAGAGCTCCTCCTCTAGAGGGCGCTGAGACAGGGGCATCAGGGCACCAGGTGCAATCACAGCCCAGTCCCTGCCCTTCCCAAGCAGGGCAGACTAGGATCAGGTGTGTTCACAGGTTATGAGCACATGGGGAAGGAAGCAGCTCAACTTGAGGGCCTCTGAAAACTCTTAAGATAATGAATTGGTCCTTAAAATATGGCGAGACTTCGTGGAGTTGACAGTGGCTTGGAGAAGGGGGCATCCTGGCCTTGGGGCCTGCCAGGGGCCTTCCACTTGGAGGTGCCTGGAGCATGGGATGCCAGAGGGAGAGAATGACCCCATGTGTCCTGGTGTGGATAAAGCTATCGTGCCTCAGAGGCCCCCAGCTGCAGAACTGAGGAAACAGCAGCCACAAGGAGCTGAAAAAGAATTTTTTTTCCAGCCTGGGGAACACAGTGAGGCACTCTCTCTACAAAAAAATTGAAAAAAAAAAAAAAAATTAGCTGGACATGGTGGTGCACACCTGTAGTCGAAGCTGCTTGGGAGGCTGAGGTGGGAGGATCACTTGAGCCAGGGAGGCCAAGGCTGCAATGAGCCATGATGGTGGCACTGCACTCCAGCCTGGGCGACAGGCCTCACTCCGTCACCCAGGCTGGAGGGCAGCGGCACGAGAACTGTAAAAATAAAAAAATTCTACAACTCTATGTGTATGTTGCAGGAAAGCATGAATAAATGAAGTCAGATTTTGCTTTTTTGTGTTTTTGCTTCAGAGACAACCTGTGCATTTTGCAGGCGGACCCCCCCGCCCTCTCCATTGCCTTCACCCTGGACTCCCACCTCGGGGGCTCCACGGCCAGCAGGGCCACCTGGCCAAGCTCCTGACCTCTGCACTGCCCCATCCTCCAGCCACCCCGACTGGAAGCCTTGGAGTCATTGCTGACTTTCCCTCCAACCTCATCCCCCACATTCACAGTGGCCTGGTGCTTGGAAACGCCCCTCTGGGGTTCAGGGAGTGCACGGGGTGACGGGGTGTGGCCCTGTGTTACCAGTTTCCTCTGAGTGCAGCCTGGTCGGCTGCCTGGACCCAGGACGGCCTCAGGCTCTTCCCACACCACAGGCCTCCTCCTTAGGACCTAGCACATAGGTGTCACTGGATCCATTTCCACTGGCAAGAACACACTGCATCCAGCCTCTTTACCTCCCAGACATGCTCTAGCCCCCCAGACACAAATGGAGGAGAATCCTGTGCCTTCCTGAGCCCCCCCACTTCACAGGCCGCTGAGAGCTGGCACTCGGCACCGCATCTCCGCGATGGAGAGAGCTCTCATCCTTCATTCCTGTGAGATCCCTGCAGGCCTCTGGCTCCTGGCCCGGTCAGCACTGTCCGCCCCCAGCCCCTCTTTCTCTAGACCTGCCCCAAGCCTGTCCTTGAAACCCACCATAGCTGTCCCCAGCCCAGGCCCCAAGTGGATGCATCCGTTGGGGGCTGCACAGCCTTGCAGTGGGGAGGCGGCGGCTCTGGTGGCACCTATGCACGTGGCATAGATTTTTCTGAGCACATGAGCCCAGACTCTGGAAGTCGTTTTCCGGTCCGGGTCAGGGTCGGCAAGCAGCGCAAGGGAGCGCGCAGCGGATCTGCGGCCTGCGGGGCCTCGCACGCACGTACCCGCAGGCTGAGGCAGGACAGGACCGTCCCGCCGCCCTCCCCGGTGCCTCTCACCAGGGATCTCAGCGCCCGGCGCCGGGCTGTCCCCAGGCGCGACCTCAGCAGTGCTCTCTCCCTGCAGAATCTCCTACGACCCGGCGAGGTACCCCAGGTACCTGCCCGAAGCTTACTGCCTGTGCCGGGGCTGCCTGACCGGGCTGTTCGGCGAGGAGGACGTGCGCTTCCGCAGCGCCCCGGTCTACATGCCCACCGTGGTCCTGCGCCGCACGTCCGCCTGCGCGGGCGGCCGGTCGGTCTACACCGAGGCCTACGTCACCATCCCCGTGGGCTGCACCTGCGTCCCCGAGCCGGAGAAGGACGCAGACAGCATCAACTCCAGCATCGACAAACAGGGCGCCAAGCTCCTGCTGGGTCCCAATGACGCGCCCGCTGGCCCGTGAGCCCCGGTCCTGCCCCAGGAGGTTTCCCGAAGCGCTACGCTGGAGCCGCCTGGAGGGCTCGGTCAGCGACCTCTGCAGAGTGCGCACCGAGCAAACCGAGCGCCTGAGCACCGGCGCCGCCTTTCCATGGACTCAGCAGCTTCACCTGACATGGGCATCCCTGGCTTGCTTTTAGCTACAAGCGGGCAGGGTGGCTGGAAGCTGATGGGAAACGATCCGGCACGGGCATCCTGTGTGTGCCCCGCATGGAGGGTTTGGAAAAGTTCACGGAGGCTTCTGGAGGAACCTCCCAGGCCCGGGGTTGCGGGTGCAGGGCGTGACCCACTGCTGCGTGCTTGCCAAAGAGATAGAGACGCATATGCTTTTTAAAAGAATCTAAAAATAATTTTAAGTAGAGCGACTATATACCTACTTTTTAAATCAACTGTTTTGAATAGAGGCAGAGCTATTTTATATTAGCAAATTAGAGTTACTCTATTACATTTCTTACTTGACATATAAACATTGTTTTTTACTTCTTCTGGAAGTTTTTAAAGCATAAGTGGAATCCTTGGATAATTTTTTTAGCTGGCACACTGTGGCCTGGGTCTCTGAATTCAGCCTGTCACTGACGGCTGACAGTGACGAAATGGACACGTCTGATCTGACCCACTCTTCCTTGCCCTGAAGGTCTTCACTGGCCTCCAGGCGGACCAAAGGGATGCACAGGCATGCCCCAGGGCCTGCGAAGGGTTCCAAAGGTCTCAAACTTGGTTTTAGTCCTGAGTACATAAACTGAGTTTCAAACTTGTACATTTTTTTTTTTCCCTTTTGATAGCCACTGGGGCCCATCTGTGGTTAAGAGGTGGTGAGATAGGAAGTGGAACATGACATCTTTGCCAGTTGTCAGAAGAATCCAAGCAGGTACTGGCTGACTTGTAAGGGCTTTGGGAGCAAGCCAAACATGAGGAGAAAGTGGGCCACGTTAGAATCTGCAGAGATCAATCTGGAGGCTTCTGTTTCTACATTCCGCCATGAGAGCTAGGTCCTTGCTCTTTCGTTTAGGTTGAAAATCTGTCTCTGAACACAATTATTTGTAAAAGTTAGAAGTTCTTTTCAAACCATTAAAACAGTCTTCCTGAAAGATACACTGGCTGTGTGTATTTCTCTCAAATCTCCTTGATGGCCAGACTGATTGTTAAAGGAAATCATGTGTGAACTAAGGTCTTCACATTATCTTGAGGTTTAAATTCATCAAGCTTTGATTTGGTCTTAGAAAGATCAACTTGTCAGGTAAGGTCAATGTCATGGATCTTCTGTGACACCCTCAAGACCAGGAGATGTCTTTTATTCACATGCATTTTGCTCCCAAGCTTCAGCTACTGTGGAAAGACCAACTGGCAGCCTTAGTTTGATCCAGATGAATGGGTCACTCAGAGACTTTTGGCTCCCGCTAAAACTGACAAACTGTGCATGCAAAACACATCACTGAGCAAAATCCACATTTGTTTGAATAAAAAATTCAAAATGGAAAGCAGTAGCTATGGCTAGCTCCACAGACTCTGGGAAATTTTACTTCCCCATTCAAACTCTGGGGGAAAAAGAGGGGGATCCTCTGGCGGTGGTATGTCTAGAGCACATTCCTGTCCAGGAACCAGAAGGTCCAGAGCAACAACACAAATCCATACATGACAAAAAATTGCCTTTTAAAGCAGCGACTTGGGCGCTGTTTCTGTCACCGCTGCTGTTGTCTGACCTTTTCCAGGTCACTCCTCAAATATAAACAGGACGAGCCAGGAGGAAGGGAACACAAGAAGAGGAAATTATCTGCATGAGGAAAATGTCATGATTTTATTCACTGCATTAATGATGAGTTTAACTAACCTCAGCTTCCTAAAAGGTAGCACATTCCCAACACAAGAAATGAGCTTTCTGTCCTAAGATCCAGAAAGACAGTCTCTGTTTTTTCTCTGTACCGTACATTCATCCACTTAGTGATGATCTACTGGGCACCTGCCTGGATCCAGTCACCCAGCTCCTGCAAAGCCGTGGCAAGCAAGACGATCTCCCTCCTCCACTAAAACGATGAAAAGGCAAAGCTGCTCCAGCACCTTGCACCTGGGTGCCGATCTATGAACCCGCTCCCTTCACCTCACTAAGCTTCATTTTCCTTCTGTGTGAAATGAGGTCACAGCACCCCACTCTTAGAGTCCCTGTGAGGATTCAGCACTGTTGATGAAGCACCTGGCACAGTGCCTGGCACATAGTGGGCGTGAACGCATCACCCCAGTCATTTATAAGCCACACTGAAAACAAACATCAAGCTAAGCTTTCTGCATGTTGTGTTGCTTTAGGAGGCATCTGTCACTTACAAGTGACTTTTTTTGTATAAAAGATTAAGTTTAAAATGAAATCTCTGGGCTGGGTGCAGTGGCTTACGCCTGTAATCCCAGCACTTTGGCAGGCGGATCACCTGAGCTCAGGAGTTTAAGACCAGCCTGACCAACACAGTGAAACCCCATCTCTACTACAGATACAAAAAAATTAGCTGGGCTTGATGGTGTGTGACTATAATCCCAACTACTTGGGTGGCTGAGGCAGGAGAATCGCTTGAACCCAGGAGGCAGAGGTGCAGTGAGCCAAGATCGCGTCATTGCACTCCAGCCTGGGCAACAAGAGTAAAACTCCTTCTTGGGAAAAAAAAACAAACAAACAAACAAAAAAAAGAAATCACTGACAAATAAAAAAGAAAACAAAATCTAGAATTTTCACTGGGCAGCAGCATTTAAATAGAATATTTTAAAATTACAGGTGGTGGCTAAGTTTGGGAAGGCACTGTTTTAATGAATAATAAGATCTTCCTGGGACAGAATTTTGTTCTCTTGTAAAAACTGAAGGTGGTTTTTTTTTGTGTGTGTGAGGGGGTTTGGGAGTGGGGGGACGGTGCAGAGATGGGAGGTAGGTGTTGTGTTTTATCAAACAAATAAGGAGGTTTACTGGCTAGAGAAATTGTGCCAGCCAAAGTTCAAAGACATCTCCCCACTCCCAGATCCACTTGGCTCATCTCACACATCTCCCTCCATGCCCAGACTTTGTAGAGGAGTAACACATGATACTGTACATTTCAGAGCTTCTTCCCCTCCTTCCAGAAAAGCATGTTTCCTTCACATGAATTCTACCTGGAGGATTCTGTGGAAACCCTTGGAATGGAGATGCTTTGCTGGTTACTGAATATCTTTTTTTTTTTTTTTTTTTTTTTGAGACGGAGTATTGCTCTATCGCCCAGGCTAGAGTGCAGTGGCACGATCTCAGCTCACTGCAACCTCTGCCTCCTGGATTCAAGCAATTCTCCTGCCTCAGCCTCCTGAGTAGCTGAGATTACAGGTGCCCACCACCACGCCTGGCTAATTTTTTGTATTTTTAGTAGAGATGGGGTTTCACCATGTTGGCCAGGCTGGTCTCGAACTTCTGACCCCAAATGATCCACCCACCTCAGACTCCCAAAGTGGTGGGATTACAGGCATGAGCCACAGCACCAGCCCCCAAGTGATAATATTTCAATTATATGGTTGTTCTATACAAATGGAATCATTTGGGAACAGCAACCCAAAAACACTTTGCAAATACCAACAGTTCCATAGTCAGGGACCAGTTATCTCATTATGTCATATCGCATCTCTTTCAGCAGGGAAATTGTCATAATTTTTCTTCTTTTTTTTTTTTTTTTTTTTGAGACAGAGTTTCGCCCTTGTTACCCAGTCTGGAGTGCAATGGTACGATCTCGGCTCACCGCAACCTCCGCCTCCTGGGTTCAGGCAATTCTCCCGCCTCAGCCTCCTGAGTAGCTGGGATTACAGGCACGCGCCACCATGCCCAGCTAATTTTCTGTATTTTAAGTAGAGACGGGGTTTCACCATGTTGACCCCGATGGTCTCGATCTCTTGATCTCGTGATCCACCCGCCTCAGCCTCTCAAAGTGCTGGGATTACAGGCATGAGCCACCGTACCCGGACCCGGAAATTGTCATTTTTAGTAACTGGTGCTAGCTCTGATTTTAGGAAGGAATAGAAGGGGAAAGAGTATAGTACCCCATCTGAAATGGGGTCCTAAAGTTCCCCCTGCCTTTCATCTGTTCTTGCTGTTCAGGTCCGCATCACCCCAGACACACATCTGAGGAGTTTCTGCAAAATACTGGAATTTTGTTAGCAAAACAGAAATTATTATTCTGCCCCTCCCCACTCATCAGGAAGGACTTAAAAAGACGTGGATTGAAGCATTCCTTTTAGGCCGGGCAAGGTAGCTCACGCCTATAATTTCAGCACTTTAGGAGGATGATGCAGGTGGATCACGAGGTCAGGAGATCATGAGGTCATCCTGGTTAACACGGTGAAACCCCAACTCTACTAAAAATACAAAGAATTAGCTGGGTGTGGTGGCCTGTAGTCCCAGCTTTAAAAATCACTCTTTTTGGCTGGGCACAGTGGCTCACCCCTGTAATCCCAGAAACTCTGGGAGGCCAAGACAGGCAGATCACCTGAGATCAGGCGTTCAAGATTAGCCTGGCCAACATAGTGAAACCCTGTCTCTACTAAAAACACAAAAATTTTATTTTTTGTAAATAAAAAATTCCAAAAAACATTTTGGTAAAAATTCAGGAGGCTGAGGCAAGAGAACTGCTTGAACCTGGGAGGCAGAGGCTGCAGTGAGCCAAGATCATGCCACTAAACTCCAGCCTGGGTAACAGAGCAGGCCTCCATCTCAAAAATCAAACAAACAAAAAACATTCCTTTTAAGCTTTGCAGTGCTTTGCTAAGGTACAGGAGGTGAGGGTGCTTTGGGGGTTCCTGATGGCATGACTGACTGTGAGCATTGCGCAGCCCCATGCCTCCCACCTGATTAACTGCCCCAAGGAACACTCTAGACCTAATGAGTTTTATTTCTTTTTTAATATAAGGTTGCAGAGGTACAGAAGGCCTTTTATGAAACCTAGAAGTGGATCATATATAAACACAGATTTCCTAAAATCAAAATCACGCTGAGGTCCAAAGCCATGAAACATGTTGGCTGCTTATTAAACAAAAAAATGTCATTACCTCATTTCATAAGCCTCCTAAGTTACAATGTTTATACATCTTTTGATAGGAATCCAACTTTGTTCCTTCTCTCCCTCCCCTCCTGTGAAGAAATAAGGTTTCTCTTCAACTAAACGCTGGATTTATAGCACAACTGCAATTCTGTTATTTCTAGACTACTATTCGCTCACAGTTCCTAAGTTAAACATTGCATTTCTGTATGTAATTTGTTACTATAATGTAACAAATTACAGTAACAAACTAAATAACCCCTTCCTGCCTTGTTATTATTAACAAAATATAACAAACAAAATAACCCCTACCTTATTATTTCCATATGTACTTTGCTCTGTATGTAATTTGTTACATACTACATACAGAGCAAACTACATATGGAAATAATAAGGTAGGAGTTATTTTTTAAAGAACACTTACTGAATACAGAGGCCAGGTGCTTGTACACTGATAAAAATACCAATGTCTCATAAAAACAGTGACTTTTTGGGTTTGAGACGTTGTTTCGTTCTCATCACCCAGGCTGGAGTACAATGCTGCGATCTCAGCTCACTGCAACCTCTGCCTCCCAGGTTCAAGCGATTCTCTTGCCTCAGCCTCTGAGTAGCTGGGAATACTGGGAATACAGTTGCCTGCCACCACACCCAGCTAATTTTTGTATTTTTAGTAGAGACAGGGTTTCACTATGTTGGCCAGGTTGGTCTCGAACTCCTGACCTCAGGTGATCTGCCCATCTCGGCCTCCCAAAGTGCTGAGGTTATAGGTGTGACCCAATGCACCCAACCAAAAAGAGTGATTTGTTTGTTTGTTGTTGTGTTTTTGGAGATGGAGTTTTGTTTTTGCTGCCCAGGCTGGAGTGCAATGGTGCGATCTTGGCTCACTGCAACCTCCGCCTCCTGGTTTCAAGCAATTCTCCTGCCTCAGCCTCCCAAGTAGCTGAGATTACAGGCATGTGCCACCATGCCCGGCTAATTTTTTTTTCTTTTTGTATTTAGTAGAGATGGGGTTTTACCATGTTGTTCAGACCGGTCTCGAACTCTTGCCCTCAGGTGATACACCTACGTCGGCCTCCCAAAGTGCTGGGATTACAGGCGTGAACCACCACGTCTGGACCACAAAGAGTGATTTTTAAATTAAATTAAAAGTTGTCCAGAAGTTGGGCAGGCGAGGGCTTAGAAACTAGCAAGACCAGGCCTGTTCCCCAACCTGGGCCTCCTTTCTGGCTTGGTCAGAACAGACAGGGTTTTGCTCCAGGGGTGATGAGCCCTGGTTCAATAACACAGGCTCATTTCTGGCTCTCCTCACATCCCTGGCAGGTAGAGGCTGTGGTCCTGCTCCACCCACAGCCAGAGTTTGGAAATGACACATCACTTCCTTTCACATTTTGGGTTTTTTCTGTTCTTGTTTTTGAGACAGGGTCTGGCTCTGTCACTCAGGCTGGAGTGTGGTGGCACAATCATGGGTTCACAGCAGCTTGGCCTCTTGGGCTCAGGTGATCCTCCCACTTCAGCCTCCCAAGTAGCTGGAACCACAGGAGTGTGCCACCATGCCTGGCTAATATATTATATATATATATATAGTATTTTTTGTACAGACAAGATTTCACTATGTTTCCCAGGCTGGTCTCAAATTCCTGGACTCAAGTGATCTGCCTGCCTTGGCCTCCCAAAGTGCTGTGATTATAGGTATGAGCCACCACACCCCGCCTCCTTTCACATTTTGTTGGCTAACGCAAGTCATATGAGGTGGGGAAGTATAATCCTTTCCCAGAAAGAGGGTGCTAATTTTTCAGAAAGTTTTTATTTTGAAATGATTGTAGATTCCCAGGAAATTGCAAAAATATACTGATAGGCCTTATGCCCTTCACCCAGTTTACCTAATGGTAACATCTGATGCAATTACAGGGCAATGTCACAATCAGAAAAAGGACACTGGCTCAACCCACAGACCCCATTCTATGTTCAGCAGTTTCACACGAGCTCATCTCTCTCTCTCTCTCTGTGTGTGTGTGTGTGTGTGTGTGTGTGTGTCTTTCTACCCAGTGCTGCCACATGTGCAGATTCACGACGAAGCCACCACCACAGACAAGACAAAGAACATACCTGCACCAAGGAGAACTCCCTTTGTGGTCTGCCCAGCCCCTTCTCCCCATCCTGATATTCCCCCTGCACCCACAAGTCTCTCCTCCCTGAGCATGCCACACCTAGACATCCAGTGTGTGACCTTTGCGGGGCGGCTCTTTCACTCAGCATGATGCCCTGGAGACTCAGCCGTGCGGTGTGTTCACTTCCGATTGCTGAGATGTCCTCTGGGGTATGGGCAGAGGAATATTTTCTGCATAGTGAGAATCTAGCATACTCCCCAGCTCCATTTTTTGGTCCTGGTGTTTGATTTACACAATGCACTTTCATTTTCTCGGGCAGTTCAGAGGGAAGGTCCTGAGGCTGAGCCACGTGGGGAGGGCACCTGGGCACCTGTCATCCCTCGCAGCCCCGCTAGAACCTGGAGGAGGAGGAGAGCCCCAGGAAGCTCTCAGATGCTAGTTATTGGATCATTACCTTATTTCATGGAGGTAAGTCTGTCTCCTTGGAGGGCTGGGGTGGGGCATGGGGGTGGGAGTCCTCACAAGTCCTGGGATGCTACCAGACTTCTCTGGCTCGAGGCAGAGGCCAAGGCCCTGTCTCATTCAGCAGCCCTTGGGTAAGCCACGCAACTGTTCTGTTAAATGAGGAGAGTAGACCAAACAGGTTCTAAGGTTTCTTCCAGCTTGAATTCCATGGATTCAGGTTGGCAGAAGACTGAGCTCTAGGGAGGCCCTCCCTAAGGAAACAATAGTGAAGGTCATGTACTTTATTTTGGAAATCAGGCCAGGGAGAGCTCCAGCTTTGGGGGAAGGGGAAGAGATTATAACTTTTCCATCTACTAGGAAAATAGAAAAGGGGGAAGGTGAGAGGCTTCCCGCCTGTGTTATGTCACCATCTGTAATTAGATCAGACAGTCCAGCCCAGAATCATAATTCACGTAACAGCGAAACTCATTTGCCAAGTTCCGGGTGTGTTTTGGAATAAACGTGCACATCTTCACTCCAAGGAGTTCTGCTGCCTGTTCTTCCATGACGGCCCCTGAAGAGAACAAAGCAAGTGAATCCTGAGAGTGACAGCCCAGCAGGAGCTCAGTGCATTGTGAGCTGGGAGAGGGGCCCTAGCAGGACCACTGGGGGCACTTAGGTAACAATTCACAAGTTGGTGGAGGGGGAGCAAGCCTTCTTTACATTCCCTGTCACCTTCTCCAATGTTTTTGCAATTTACCAACTTTTTTCCATGTCTTTTTTATTGAATGAATTATTTTCCTACCTCTACAGAGCCAGGACACTTAGAAATTTAGAAGCAGATTACACACACACACACACACACACACACACACACACACGTATTGTGTGTGTGTGTATGGAAAACAAAAATAATCACTAAAAACTAGCATTTCCCAACGTTGAGCCAAGAGCCTTTTTCAGTAATATTCAATCTTGCAAACAGGTACGAATGCATTCCCACCACCTTTTGCCATCTCCTCCCCATTTTTCCCCGCCCCGGGCCCTCCACGCACGGCCAGCTCCCCTGAGACATCCGGTAAGAGGTGGCATCCATGGCCCTGATTCTTGCCCTCTCTTCCCCTCCACACTCCAGCCTTCATCTTCAAACCAGCTCTGATGCCCCTGCCCTGCCGTGCCCTCCTTGCAGGCCACCGCCCTCCCTGGGGTGGTGGACACCACCGGTGCCGAGAAGTAAAGAGATCGGTCAGTTGCTAACATTTTAGTTCTCAGCAACAGCCCACGGTGCCCAGATCCACGCTCCCCAAAACCTTTTCGGTTACGCTAAAGCAAATGTCTTATGTCTTCAGACAAGTTGTGTTCTGCCATCTTGGGCTTCCAAAGAAAGCCCCAAAGCCCACCGTCCCCTCTGTTAGGCACTGGGGGCTTCCCGCTTCGATACTGTCCTTGTGGGCAGCTGCAACCGTGGCTCCTGACCTTCAGGTCTCTGGGGCATAGTGCAGGTGCCTGGGTCTCTGTTACTCTTCTCAGAGTTAGTGCTTCCTGTCTTTGGTCTATTTTACTTTTTTTTTTTTTTTTTTTTTTTTTTTTTTTGAGACGGAGTTTCGCTCTTGTTACCCAGGCTGGAGTGCAATGGCGCGATCTCGGCTCACCGCAACCTCCGCCTCCCGGGTTCAAGCGATTCTCCTGCCTCAGCCTCCTGAGTAGCTGGGATTACAGGCACGCGCCACCATGCCCAGCTAGTTTTTGTATTTTTAGTAGAGACGGGGTTTCACCATGTTGACCGGGATGGTCTCGATCTCTTGACCTCGTGATCCACCCGCCTCAGCCTCCCAAAGTGCTGAGATTACAGGCTTGAGCCACCGCGCCCGGCCCTTATTATTATTATTTTTTTAAAGAATCCCCTAAAACTAAAATGTATAGTCCATGAGGCCAGAGCGCCGCCTGCCAGAGCACAAAGCAAAGGGAGCAGCGGAGTGAACGAGTGTGCAGGGAACCGCGGCATGTGTGCAAACAGAGCGGCCCTCCCCACATACGCAGCTCCGTGGCACCAGAACAGGCCCCCCCGGGGCTCCACTCCTGGCCCAGCCCTGCTCCCAGCAGGGTGTCTAGGGGACACGCAAGGCCCTGACGGACTGGGGTATAGCGCCCGGAACAGTACTCAAGGGTGTGGACACCAGGAGTGCCCAGAAGTAAAGAGACCGGCCGGTTGGCAACATTTGAGTTCTCAGATTTTTCTCTGTTATTTGAGACAGTCTTGCTCTGCACCCGGGCTGGAGTGCAGTGGCACCATCACAGCTCACCGTAGTCTCCACCTCCTGGGACTAAGCGATCATCCCACCTCTACCTCCAGTATGGCTGGGACTGTAGGCCCACACAACCACGCCTGGCTGATTTTAAAATTTCTGTTTTTAAAAACAGCCAGGAGTCTTGCTATGTTGCCTAGGCTGGTTTAGAACTCCTGGCCTCATGCAATCCTCCCACCTTAAAGTTCTCCGATTTCCTCTATTGAATTTTGCCATACCTGCCTTAAGAAAGGATATCAAACCCAGACTGGTGGTGCATACCTGTAAGTCCCAGCTACTTGGGAGGCTGAGGTGGGAGGTTGCTTAGCCCAGTGGTTTGAGGTTACAGAGAAAAACAAAAAAAGCGTATCAATCTCAACAGTAAGAAAACTCTTCTACTTTAAGGAACCTAGTCTACTCTTTGAACTCTATAGATCCCAAATTTCTTTTTGATAAAAGTGTAGATGTTGGATCAACAGCACTGCTACTGACGATGATGGAACATAAAAGTAATGCCTGATAGTCATCAAGCAGTCACCATGCACCAGACTCAATGTTGGGTACTTTATGTGTCACTTAATTCTTTAGGACCCTTAATGGCAGAGAATATTATCAGTCCTAGTTTACAGATGAGGAAACCAGGGCACAAAGAGTTAAATCATTTGTTCACAAGTCACACAGGAAGTGGTGGACTCAGGATTTCTTCTTGATCTTTAAGACCTGAATAGCCACTGTCAGTGACTTTCCTGAGGCGTGTAATGCAGCACCTACCTGTGCACAGCAGAATCTTGCCCCGAGTCAGGTACTTGATGGTTTCTGATGTTTTTCTGAGACATTCCTCCGAAAGATAGGGAGGATCTGCTAGTACGATGTCAAAACTATGTGCAGCAATTCTTTCGGGTAAGTCCAATGGATTATTGTAATCATAGAAAATAAACTCCTCTCCATACATGGCAAATCTTTTGTCATATTCAAAGATGTATACAGAAAAGTCTTCTCTGCACATCTCTCTGAGTTTCTGGTAAACACTGGGGGCACTCACACATGCGATTCTAGAAAACAAAATGAACACACTCATGAAACACCTTTAATAGAGAGATTACAGTGTTAACAACTACTTCACTAAAAAATACATATAGGTCTGAATGCTCAGATTTTCTTACAGGAAATAATAATGCAAACTAGTGTAATAGTCAATGTTGAGAAAAAACTTTATAGTGTTTCACTTTTTTTTTTTTTTTTTTTTGAGACGGAGTTTCGCTCTTATTACCCAGGCTGGAGTGCAATGGCGCGATCTCGGCTCACCGCAACCTCCGCCTCCTGGGTTCAGGCAATTCTCCTGCCTCAGCCTCTTGAGTAGCTGGGATTACAGGCACACGCCACCATGCCCAGCTAATTTTTTTTGTATTTTTAGTAGAGATGGGGTTTCACCGTGTTGACCAGGATGGTCTCGATCTCTTGACCTCATGATCCACCCGCCTCGGCCTCCCAAAGTGCTGGGATTACAGGCTTGAGCTACTGCGCCCGGCCTATAGTGTTTCACTTTTAAGGAATTTGGTACTTAAAAGTCTGTATCTTCTACATAGATGATAAAGAGAAGAAAAAGCAAAAAAAAAAAAAAAGTCTGTTTTTTTGTTTTTTTTTGAGATGGAGTCTCGCTCTCTTACCAAGGCTGGAGGGCGGTGGCATGATCTCGGCTCACTGCAACCTCTGCCTCCCGGGTTCAAGTGATTCTCCTGCTACTCCTCCCCAATAGTTGGTATTACAGGCACATGCCACTGCACCTGGGTAATTTTTTTGTATTTTTAGTAAAAATGGGGTTTCATCATGTTGGCCAGGCTGGCCTTGAACTCCTGACCTCAATTGATCTGCCCGCCTCAGCCTCCCAAAGTGCTGGGATTACAGGTGTGAGCCACCTCGCCCAGCCTGTAACTTATAAAGATAAGAAACAGGTTAGAAAACATTAAAAGGAACAGAGATAAGATATTCCACAACGAATAGAGTTCTGAGTGGGTCTCTAAACTCAGTGTTGAAGTGGGTCTTAATTTGTCATGTGCTGCAAATCATGACCTACAATTTTTGCAGATTACAGTTCAGACTTCTTATAAACAATCTGTCATCCAGGAAGGACATTCAAAATATTACATTAGATTATAAGGCAACTAGAGAAACAAAATTTGAATCTCACCTGCCACCTTCTCCTACAGCTGCAATTGCCTCCTGTGCAAGTCGCAGAGCAGTTTCCTGACTATACCAGAACTGACTCAACTGCTGTAACAGAGAAATGGGTTGATAGCATTTTACAACTGGCGTACGCTTTGTTCTTTTAATTTACATCTACTATACCAGTGGTCATATATTTTTTTTAAATTTTTGTTTTGAAAATTAATTTTTCTTTGAAATTAAATTAATACAAGCCCCTAATGAATTAATGGAATCTAGGCATCGATGCCTATTAACATCACAAAAGGAGACCACCGGTGTTCCCTGATAGAACATACCCACACCTTTGTATGAGTTTTGCCAAAAAAAAAAAGAACTTGAATCTGCTTAAGCTTCTAGGTTCAACTAGCAAGTAACAGAATTACAAACACAGAGGATGGAAGAATGAGTTCACTAACACCAGAGGATGCAATTAGCAAAATCCAGACTGTGCCCCTGGTCCACAGCCTCATTTTGCCTTATACATGTTTCCTAAATTACTTGTTTTTCCCTTGGGGGCAAGTTTGTTTTTCATCTTGCTCCTTGTGTTTCATCCTGATTGATGATTTTTAAAAACTTTCTAGTGACCTTTAATTATCTATTCGTATTTATAAATTAATCAGGAGTTTAATGAAAAAGGTAGCATGGTTTTCCTCTGTAATCATACAAACCCATTTCTCCAACAGGCTCTCTCTTCCCTGAATGGCCCTGAATGGCAGGGCTGGGGGCAGCCAGTTGCGTGGGGCATACCAACTGGGGGTTCTCTGCTTTAAAAACCTGCCCTGTGTGGGAACAACTCAAATGCCCATCAACTGATGGATGGACAGACAAAACGTGGTACATCCATACAATGGAATATTATTTGGCCATAAAAAGGAACAAGATACTGATATATGCTATATGGATGAGCGTTGGAAACATTACACTGAACAAAAGAAATCAGACAGAAAAGGCCACATATTGTGCAACTCCATTTATATGAAGTATCCAAAGTAGCAAGTCTACAGAGACAGAAAGTAGATTAGTGGTTGGCGGGCACTGGGAGGATTGGGAAAGCAGGAGGTAGCAGCTGTAGGACATAGGGTTTCTTTTAGAGGGAATGAAAATGTTCTCAAATTGACTGTGGTGACAGTTGGACCCACCTGTGAATTCACTAAAAATCATTCACTTGTACATGTTTAAAAGATGAATTTATGGTATGTGAATTCTATCTCAACAAAACTGAGATCTACTGAAATAAAGAGAGCTTGACTCAGAGTATGGGGGACTTTTGTGTCCTTCCTTCCTGGAAGGAGGTGCCTTTTTCCTATGGTGAAGCTCTGAAGTTATCTTAGACTGTATTCTGTGTCTCTTTCTGGCTTTCCTACCCAAATCAGGGCACCCCAAATCAGATTCTTAGTGAAAACTCCTCTGGGATTCAGCCTGGAGGCAAGTAACTTTGATGCTATTGATGCCTTCAGGATACGATCAGAAATGGAAGAGACCAACTGGCCCAAAGATGTCAGCAGGCCATCCTTGAATTGATCACGCAGAAATCGGCCCATGAGCTACTTTTACCACTTATGTTCACAGGCTCTGAGTTTGAAACCCAGAGTCTCTGGTTCTTTTCTGGAAGGCAGACTCTCATCTGTGCTGCAGTTCTCAGAGAGGCTGGTAGTCTTCTCTGCTGTTCCAAAGACCATCTTACATCCATTTTCTTTCTTCCAGAAATTTACTGAAATTCCTGTCAATAGCATCCTTTGTCTCTCTCTCTTTTTTTTTTTAATCACTGGAATTATTTTTTAAAAACAGATTTACTCTTCATTTAATGGAAAAGAAAAGTGATCACTGAGGTGACTAGTCCACCATCTTGAGTTGAAAAGTAATAATTATACTGAGTAGATACATACCAAAATTTTACCTCTTCAAACTTAACTTTGTAACCTAACATTGCAAGGCATCATAGCTGCGTTTCTTAAATAAAACTAAGAAACTCTATACTTGACCCTTTTTCAGTATTCTAGAGTTTATTATTTCCCCTTTAACAGTGATTTAATTATTCCCGTTTTCACTGTTACAAACATGCCAGAATGACTATTCTAAATATCTCTCTTGTATACGTGTGCATATAACTCTGTGTAGAGATTCTGAGAAATGGAATTCCTAGTTGCAGGGCATACAGAGTCAATATTTTGGTAAATATTGCCAAATTGCCCTCCAAAAAGGTTGGGCCAATTAAAAAAACTACCCACAGTATTTTACTCTTTCAATTTGCACTGCACTGTTGTACAGTTGAGCGTCTTCTCCTGTATTTAATAATTCATTTTTCTTTTTCTTTTGTCAATTGGTTCTAGCCTTCCCTAATTTTTCACGGGGTATACTATTTTATTATTGATTTATAGAAGCTCTTTAAATAGTCAGCGAGAAAAAAAATGATAGGTGTGAAATAGAACTCGCTTGCAGCTAGTACCTAGGTCCAAGGTATTACCTACTTAACAGAAACTATTTCAAAGAACATCAACATCAGACTGAGTTATTCCTGTGATGGAGCAAGACAAAAATATAACCATTCTAAAAAATAAAAATAAAAAAATGGCCATTCTGTAATCATATCTGAGTGCAGATAAAAGAACACTGCGCAAATCACAAAAAATGACAATGAATGCCTCTTTACCAGCTAGCATGAGTGCCTGCTGATACTTCACCAATTACACCTTTAACTTCATTTGATTCCTCCCACCTCCTAGATAATAATTATTCTGGCTTTTTGACAAACTTGCTCCAACACGTAATGCAAGCCAACATCACAAAATAATCTGCTCTTAGAAGCCTCTTACTAAAACGTCCCACAGGCCGCCCATGGTGCACAACCTCTTTTGATAATGAGTTTGCCTACAGGTGTGTTTCCTGGTGTCTTTGGCTGGTGGACACGGACATATGGATACTAACCCTTTGCTCTCAAGCATGATACAAATATTTTCTCCTCATCTTTCTCCTGTCTCTTAAACTTGTTTATGGTATCTTCTGTTATCAATAAGTTTCTAATTTTATATTGTCAACTTTATCAATCTTCTCCTTCATGACTTCTTAGTTTTGACTTGTTTTTCTACCTTAAACCATAAAAATATTATCCTATATTTTCTTTTAATATTGTATTTATTTATTTATTTATTTATTTTTATTGAGACAGAGTCTCACTCTGTTGCCCAGCCTGGAGTGCAGTGGTGCAATCTGGTCTCACTGCAACCTCCACCTCCGAAGTTCAAGCGATTCTCCTGTGTCAGCCTCCCAAGTAGCTGGGATGACAGGCACCCACCACCAGGTCTGGCACATTTTTGTATTTTTAGTAGAGGTGGGGTTTCACCATGTTAATCAGGCTGGTCTCAAACTTCTGACCTCAGGTGATCTGCCTGCCTTGGCTTCCCAAAGCGCTGGGATTACAAGCGTGAGCCACCACACCTGGCCTAATACTTTTATTATTTTTATGTTTAGCTCTTTACTCCACCTTGATTTAATTTTGTGCATGGATTATGATTTTTTTTTTTTCTCCAAATCTAGGATACATCAGGATTCAATTCACACCTGTCACTTTCTCTAGGTGGGTTTCCTTGACTTCCCCTTCACCTCAAAAGTCTGGGGAGGTGTCCTTGCATTTTGCGTCCCATTTTGCTCCAGTCATCACTTCTGTCTTAGAATAGTTTTCTTGAGAGCAAGGGCAGTGTTTTATTTACTGTTCTACTACACCTGACTTTTTTTTTTTTTTTTTTTTTTTTTTTTGAGACAGAGTCTCAGTCTCTCACCCAGGCTGGAGTGAAATGGCTCGATCTTGGCTCACTGCAACCTCCGCCTCCTGAGTTCAAGCAATTCTCCTGCCTTAGCCTCCCAAGTAGCTAGGACTACAGGCGTGTGTCACCACACCTGGCTACATATATATATTTTTTAAGTAGAGATGGGGTTTCACTGTGTTAGCCAGGATGGTCTCCATCTCCTGACCTCATGATCCACCTGCCTCGGCCTCCCAAAGTGCTGGGATTACAGGCGTGAGCCACTGTCCCCGGCTTTTTTATTCTTTTTATTTTACGTTCTGGGATACATGTGCAGAACGTGCAGGTTTGTTGTGTAGGTATACATGTACCATGGTGGTTTGGGGCACCAATCAACCCATCATGTAGGTTCTAAGCCCCGCATGCATTAGGGATTTGTCCTCATGCTCTCCCTTCCCTTGTCCCCAGCCCCCTGACAGGCCCCGGTGTGTGATGTTCTCCTTCCTTTGTCCAGGTGTTCTCATTCTCAACTATCACTTATGAGTAAGAACATGCAGTGTTTGGTTTTCTGTTCCTTGTTAGTTTGCTGAGAATGATGGCTTCCAGCTTCATCCACATTCCTGCAAAGGAGATGAACTCATTCTTTTTTATGGCTGCATAGTATTCCATGGTGTGTATGTGCCACATTTTCTTCTTCCAGTCTATCAATGATGGGTATTTGGGTTGGTTCCAAGTCTTTGCTATTGTAAATAGTGCTATAATAAACATACATGTGCATGTGTTTTTATAGTAGAATGGTTTACAATCCTTTGGATATATATCCAGTAATGGGTCAAATGGTATTTCTGGTTCTAGATCCTGGAGGAATCGCCACACTGTCTTCCACAGTGGTTGAACTAATTTACACTCCCATCAACACTGTAAAAGCGTTCCTATTTCTCCACAGCCATGCTAGCATCTGTTGTTCCTGAGTTTTTAATAATTACCATTCTAACTGGCTTAAGATGGCATCTCATTGTGGTTTTGATTTGCAATTCTCTAATGACCAGTGATGAGGAGCTTCTGTTCATGTCTTTTGGCTACATAAATGTCTTTTTTTCTTTTGAGAAGTGTCTGTTCATATCCTTCACCCACTTTTTGATGTTTTTTTTTTTTCCTTGTAAATTTAAGTTCCTTATAGATTCTGGATATTAGACCTTTGTCAGATGAGCAGATTGCAAAAATTTTATTCCATTATGTAGGCTGCCTGTTCACTCTGATGATAGTTTCTTTTGCTGTGAAGAAGCTCTTTAGTTTAATTAGATCCCATTTTGTCAATTTTGGCTT